TGTGTGTGTTCAAGGGGATCTGAGAATGGTTTAGATTCACAATTTTGTCCGCTGGACAATGTTTTTTTAATTAATTTTTAATTTATTAGTAGTTGTTGATTTTGGAATGTTTTACATTGGATCCGACCGACGGCGCTACCATCGCAGTGTCAAATTTTAAATAATATTCAAATTAAAGACGTGTAGAGAGGACGAGGACAACGTGTGTCGGGTCCGCTAGTATTTATATAAAGAATTGAAAGTGTTTATTAAACCGATATCATTGTAAACACAATGCAATAATACTGATCCTTTGCTCAGTGAGGCAAGATAATGAACATAATGAAGACATACTTGTCTGACACGCTCAAATATCAAATAGTGAATACAGTATAAGAGCACCTGTTGAGGCGGGTTTTACAAAGTGTTATATATGTTGTTATTTTATTATTTTGAATGTCTTTGAAGATACTGAATTCATTAATTAAATGTCTGAAATTACTGCTGCTGTATCGGTGGCCGACATGTGAATATTGCATTGCACCTGTGCTTTAGTAAAATCGGTAAATGGAAAAAGAACACTACATTGAGTACATAATGGTGTTGGGGCGCAATTTCATTAGTGGATAACTCGAACGTTATACAGCCTTGATGGTCCCCGCATACACTAACTCCCGTTAGTTAGCTAACGACTGATGAAACTGTTTAAAATGTAACAACGAACCGCAATCGCAACGACGTCACACACAACCGGTCGAAGGGTTTACTTTTATTAATTACTAGCGGAAGTCCACCACTTCGTCAGGGAAAAATTTAAATAAATTCCAGCGTGATACCTTTATGCGTTTTTGAGAAAAAAGGGTCTTGACAGACGGACGGACGGACAATAAAGTGATCCTATAAGGGTTCCGCTTTTTTCCTATGCGGTAAGGAACCTTAAAAATGATCAAAATTCCACCCGTTTACATCGACTACCTTCCAGTTTTTACCCCTAACTTAGGGTACGGTCTCATCCCCTCGATGGAGACGTATAGTGAGCTGCGTTAAGACGGTCCAGTCGTTTCGGTGATTACCTGGACCAAACGCACACTTTGGTAGGGCAACTTTAAAATAAAGTTTTGTGCCCTGAAATTGTTAAAAAAACGCTTTTAGTTTTTAGTGAAACGCTTTGCTCGGAAAACAATTTGTTATTATTTTTTCGATTTTTGCTTTACTTATCCTGAGTGTATTTAACTTTTGCAGTGTAAAGCATTTTTAGTCCCTTTAATTAATGTAATATTATAAATCATACATATGTATATATATATAATGTATGTTATAATTTTATAAGTTAAGTTTTACATAAAATGATTATGCTTACGAAATAAGTTAATTCAACTAAAAAAAACCCCGTGGCAAAATATGTGCCATACGAGTACAAGTTGTGATGCAATTTGGATCATAAATAAGTAGCGACGGCGCCCCCTGTCTGTGTGCCGAGCTCTCGCACACACACATAATGTCATGTCAGCTATGGACCGTTGTCTTCTTCCCTGTGCTTCTCGCTGTGCTTATTATCACCTCTGTATAAAACTATTGTGAAAGTTAAGCTTAGTCAGTCATATGACATTGCTCTAATTGCTTTTTATATAAAATTGAAATAAGTAAAGAGTCATTTGTGTAAAAATATATCTAATTTATTTACAAAATCCTAAAATAATATGCTTTGCTGTGGGCGCTGGCAATCACCACCAGCCGCTGCCGTAGCCGCTGCCGTAGCCGCTGGAGTAGCTGCCACCGTAGCCGGAGGAGTATCCGCTGCCGTAGCCGGAGGAGTACCCGCTACCGTAGCCGGCAGAGTACCCGGGCGCCGACACCAGCTTGTTGACGGACACCACTTGCGGCACGGACACCACCTTGTTGACGGTCACCACCCGTGGCACGCTCACCACCTTGGGCACATTGACCACCTTGTTGACGGTGACGAGTTGCGCCGCGGGCGCGGAGTATCCTCCCCCAAAGCCACCCCCGAAGCCGCCTCCGAAGCCGCCCCCGTAGCCACCGAGGCCGCCGTGGCCGGCCAGGAAGCCGCGCTTCTCGCGCACGGCGCCCGCCGCCGCGCACGCCACCACGCACAGTACTACCAGCTGCGAACAAACAAATTTACACACCTTTATAACATATCTCCATTGCCTCGTAATGATTGGAGGAACGGCATTAATGAGAGTCACTCACGAAGGATTTCATGTCGAAGTGAGTCAGTGAGGTCCTCGTCGGTCTGCGAGCTGCGAGTGGCGAGTGGTGCCCCGTCTCGCGTGCCACTGTATATAATACGCGGATGAAAGATATTTCGCAAGGCAACCTCGCCTCTGTTGCGAATTAAAATATAACATTTTGCGTTTGTGCAAGATACGTCGTATTAAAATACTATAAGTCGAGATAAACACAATGTATATTTACATAAATGTGGATGAACATGCGAACTCAAGGAACATTAACCCTCTGTTGGCTTTCAGGTGATCGTGTATAATACATATAGGTATTATATACAGTATTTTTTAAGTGCATTGAGCAGACGCAGCGCCACAGTAAGCAGAAGATTATTATACGATTGAACCAGTCCAGGGAATGCACAAATAGAGAATATTTCCCTTCATCTGTTGATTAAAGAGATAATGTTTCTGCAATTATAGATGTCTATGGACATAGGTTGCTTTTCTATTTTGGCGAATTCAAGTGGCCGGCTCGCTCGTTTACCATCTCATTATTTAAAATATCTCGAAGACTTGGAGGTCAAATCACCAATTTAATTCATATCAATATGAAATAACCTTTGATCTGGTAGATTTTGGGATGATTAACTCCATCTTTAGGAACCATACGTCATTTAATGTAAATTTTAGCAACTCATAGTCCACTCAACAACACAACATGTTTTACAACATGTTAATCTAGTCTTATATCTCATACAATTCGTCTGTTACATGCTCCACATCATTTCATAATAATAAAACTAATAGCAAGGTCACACAAATGAGGTGGAGACGAAACGAGTGACGAGACTTACTTCATAATACCAAACCTGCTTATCTTTAAGTGTCGACATTTTATTTGCCTTTTTGCAATTAAGTTGGTACAATTTCACAAGTCTAGACCCAAACAATATGTAATCAAAAGTTTATGACATGTGCTACATACATTGTATGTAAGTACGTGCAGCGTGTGTGTCTGTGCAGCTCGGTGCCCACCCCGCCTGCCCCCGCCTACCCCCGCTTTCCCCTCGCCTGTGTCGCTGTGATCCAGTCATTGATAAATCTTGTGAGAGACGTTGCCATCAGCTAATGATAATGAACTTCAAACGGTAAAAATCTTAATAAAACCTAGCAGCATGACTTTAATGCAATGATGAATAAATGTATGGAATTGACCAAGATTTCGGTTGAGTATTTTGCTGGCATTGGCTGCCTAAACTACATACTAGCATCAGACTATTGTTGGCTTGTCTTAATAATTAAATGATAATAATAAGACATTTAATCCGTTCAAAGAGATTAGAACACTTCAAATCATTAAATAAACAAGGGATGCTGCGAGCCACCGCTCCAATGATGCCCGCCGCCCATGCCCACCGTGCAACCAGGTCTCGGCGTATCTTATAGGTCAATTCCTACTTCCAACCTAACGTTAATTAATTGGAAACTGTTTCTTCTGACGAGAAGAAAGCTGTACGTGGGGAACAGTTTCTTTTTAATTTGTCGCCACCGACATATTTCAAGGTGTTCAACTTTCTTTGCAACTTCTCTAGGTACCTACTCGGTTTACACAAACAAACGAGAATGTTTCGACAAAATCTCCACTAACACCAGGTGGGATCGTGGTCAAGCGCTGGCTTATCAAACGTAAAAAAATGTCTTATCGAAAGCGAGAGTCGTTTTGGTAATGTATTTGTTGCGATCTGATTCTAGAACTGTCATTCATACAAACTCACACATAAAACAATCTTACAAACAAACGACAAACATTAGTGCTGGTCAATCGGGTATGTACAACTTTCTCACTCTTTTGTTTAATGACTATTTGTTTTGTGATTGAAAAACTGGCATCGAAGGGTACTAAAATACTTCCTAAATTCTTCTACTACACTTCGTGAGACCCTTGACAGTGTCGATTTGCGATGTTAAAACCTGAAAGAAACCGAAAATCTGTTGCAAGCGCCGGTTAACACGGTAGACGTCATTTCTTAACTACTAATTTTTAAGGGTCTAATATTTTATTTGTGTATAGTCCGACAAAGCAAACTTTTAGCAGTTTTTTTTTTATTAATAGGGGGCATGACCATAACCCATAACGCCCATAATCTTTTAGGGTTACCTGAGAGCAAAAATTGCCTAGTTAAATACAATTTTTAAAAGTTAATAAATTTGTAGGCAATTATTTCGCAACTTTTAGTCTGAATACCCGTAGTAATTGTTTACTCTTTAAATTGATAAAAACAATAGAACGATTAGCAGAATTTAGACGAATAACTGGCAGAATCAAAGAGTTTTTAAAATATATATAAATGGATAAATTGTGTATAAATGTTCAATTTCAATCTGGTCACACCGTCGACATATGTCTATTCATTTGACAATTACGTTTTCATTTTAAATAGGTTGTTTACTTTCATATTACCGCGAAAACTTACATATAATGAATGATAAACGTATAAAATATTAAGGTGATATTGATAGAATACTGCTATGCCGCGCGTAAAAATTGACTACGTTGTTAGTGTAACCAGCGAAGACCCAGTAAGTAATCTAATACAAAATTATTTTCTGATAAGAACTTAAAATTTATATAAATTATAATAAAATTAAGAGAAAATTTGGATGTTTACAACACTTAATTAATTTTGATGTTCCTGTGGCTGACTAGGAACAGAGTATTTTTTAAACTTTATTTTGTCTACAAAAGATATAGTTCTGGGATTGTCTCCCATGATTTAGGATCACCCGGCCAGCAACCTGCTCGCCAACGAGGTGAGCAAGCGGCGCTGGCTGTGCAGCGCGGGCGCAGGCGAGGGCGCCGTGCTGCTCCAGCTGAAGCGCGCCGTCAACGTCAGTACTCTAATTTTTCACCTAAGTATTCACTCTCATCACAACCCATCTGTCAAAGCAATATTCAAGGGTAAACTGTAATTGATTTTTTATTTTTCACATCTTGTACAAATGTACAAATAAATTAATTTGCGGGCAACAGCTAGTTATCAAATAATGTTTTAATGTAAATAAAGTTATAAGTGGTAATGTTTTCAGATATGTGGTGTCCACATCGGAGCACACCAGGCCGCGTTTGTAGAGGTGCTGGTGGGCTCTGCAGACTGTCCCGTTGACCAGTATGAGGTATGTCACTCTCATCGCAGAATTTCTGTTTTGTTCTCTCAATATTTATGGATGAATTACATGTCAACATGTCATCGAGCATTACCTCAATAATGTGGAGACATGCCTCAATGCCTTCGCCTACTTATTACATCGGCCACATCATGGCATAACAACAGCAGCTTATTTATCACATCTGAATGAATTTTATCATTCGTGGGTCAGAAATGTAACTTCTAGTCCACTGTAGACATTCTATGTAAATGCTAGAGATGAGCCATGTGGTGGTCCTGCAGGTGCTGGTGCCGCGCTGCGTGTTCGCGAGCCCGGCGGAGTGTCGGCGGGTGGGTGGTGGCGGTGCTGGAGGGGACCGCGTGCGCAGCTTCAGCGCCGACCAGCTGGCGGAGGGCGCGCGCGGCCGCCGCTGGGACCGCGTGCGGCTGCTGTGCTCGCAGCCCTACAACAAGCACTGCCAGGTGACAGCCCTCACTCGACTAACTAACTTTTGCTTCCCGCTTACAGAATAGTACAAGTCGGTATTCTAGTTTATTTATAATTTATTTTGTCAAATTTATCTTAAAACTGATGGTCATAAAATGTTGTCTTTATAGCATTTTCACCAAATTTGTGTGTGTATTTCTACATTGAATATTTTGTCACTTTCTAGTTTGGACTCTCTTTCATCCATATTTATGAACCGGAAGCTGTAACGACTGAGTCTTCTGCGGCGGAGGTCCCAGCCCCCATCTCAGCCTCTGTCCCAACCACCGCCTCGGCCCCCGGCCCAGCCCCATCCCCAGCCCCCAGGGACACGCTGCTCTCTCTCGGGAACTACTCCTCGGACGAGGAGGAGTTCCAGCCGGGGGCGCTGTTCGCTAAACACCAACAGAGTCTCAAGAAGAATGACGACAGCGCTAGATGTAACACAGGTGTCGAGAATTCCATTCCAACTTATCATATTATGCTAAACGCCTAAACGGAAAGTTTGTTCGTTTTCCGCTCTCTGGCGACCGCCGCAAATTGAAATATTGAGACATTTTTAAATAAACTCATACATACTATTAATTCGTTTTAAGTTGCTCAAATAAGAAGAGCGTCGGCACAAGCATTGAAAGATATACCAGACGCGAACACGAGGCTTAAGAAAACTCCTATAGAGAGCAGCGGCAAGCGAGCGCGGCACCGGCCCGGCGGCAGCGGCCAGGGCGGCAGCGGACAGGGCGTCAGTGACCAGGGCGGCAGCGGACAGGGCGGCAGCGGCCAGGGCGGCAGCGGCCAGGGCGGCAGCGGACAGGGCGTCAGTGACCAGGGCGGCAGCGGACAGGGCGGCAGCGGCCAGGGCGGCAGCGGACAGGGCGGCAGCGGCCAGTGTGGCAACGGAAAGGGCGCGAGCGCGGTGCTACGCGGGGTAGTGTTCGCCATGAGCGGCTTCGTCAACCCCGAGCGCGCGAAGCTGCGGGCGGCAGGCCTGGCGCTCGGTGCGCGCTACCGCCCCGACTGGACGTCCGACTGCACCCACCTCATGTCAGTACACCCCCTACCCCCTCAACCCTCCCCCTACATCGCAACTCTATATTGGACGATGGTGATTGTGTGAATAAACCGTGTCGTGTTCCAGTTGCGCCTTCCCCAACACGCCTAAGTTGAAGAAAGTAGTAGCGAGCTCGCCGCACGCGCACGTCGTCAGCGGCGACTGGCTGCGTGCCTGCCAGCGCACCGCCCGCCGCCAGCCCGAGGCGCCGCACTCGCTGCGCCCGCACCGCCCCCAGCACCAGTCCCAGACCCCGCCCCCACCCCCGCCACCGCCCCGGCGTCGCTCACCCCGCGGTCCGTCGATTACAGTTAACATTAACGACCTAATTCACGATCAGACCGAATAAAGGGAACGTCATTTTTTTATTTTATGCTTTGACGCAGGCGACGACACCGACGACACTGACGACGAGATAGAGAAGGTGCGCGCGAACAACAAGAGGCCGCGCCTTGCTCCCGCCTCGCCCTCCGCTCCGCCCACATCGTCATCTGATAACGACGTCTCCTTCGTCTGCGACGAGAGGTTCAAAGGTGAGTAAAATATTTAAGGTTTAAGGGTCGGTACATGGAATAGATTATTTAACTTAATTAATAAATAGCGATAAATAGCGCGGTCGTACAAATAACCCGAGCGTTTTATGTTGTCGGCGGCAGGCAGCGTCACGCTCTCGGACGACTCCTCCACCGAGGAGGAGCCGGCAGGGGAGAGCGCGGGGGACGGGGAGGGCTCGCCTCGCCGCCCCCTGCCGCCCTTCCTGGAGGGGCTGACCTTCACGGTGACGGGTGCGGGGGGTGCGGGCTGCGACACGCGCCTGCTGGCCCGCTACGTGCGCGCGTACGGCGGCCTGCTGCTGCAGGTACATCTGCCCTTTGAATGTTTACTGATCATTACCATTAGATGCAAATATTTTTGGTATTGAGTAATCACGGCCGCGCGGCAGGATTCCGAGCTGGAGCAGGGGGCGGCGGTGGACTACGTGGTGTGCGCGGGGGGTGCGGTGGGCGCGGGGGGTGCGGTGGGTGCGGGGGGCGCGCGCGGGCTGCGCGTGCGCGCCGACTGGGTGTGGCGGTGCCACGAGCTGCGCGCGCTGGCGCCCACACTCCCCTACGAGCTGCCGAGCTGACCGCCCACCGCCTTCCTACAGACATTAACGTTCTTATTGTTAAATACTTAAATAATAATAATAATAATGGTATTGGAAAGTTATTTCCTTTATAAAAATCCTTAACCTGAAGAGAGTCACGATTGAAGTACGTCCAGCTTGTCCCGAAACCCCTAACAGTACATTGAATGAGGGCTCAGATAAACTACATTATAGTGAATACTGCTCACTGAACTATCACATGTTTTGTATTTTTTTTTTTAAAAATCTTAAAATGTTATCATACACTTTTACTCAAAATAAATATTGGTAAAATTTTAGAACCATGAAAAAATAATAGAATATCTCCTTTGCAAAGTTATGAAAATCGGTGCAACTAATACGATTTACGAAAATGTATGATCTTGTCTCAAGTAAATATACATACAGTTGTAGGTTTAAAAAATAACAAAAAGTGGCCACAGTATGAAAGTTTTATTGGTGAGTTATTGCAATAAAAGCGGGCGGCAGGCGGCGGGTCACTGCGAGGTGAGCAGCGTCAGCTTCTCGTTGAGCTGCAGCTGCGTCTTGACGAGCTGCGCCAGCGTCACCACCATGAGCAGGTCCTTCACGCTGGAGGCGAACGCGTCCGCGAACGAGTCCGCGGCCAGGCTGGGCAGCGAGTGCGCCAGCTCCAGCAGCGCGCGCCCCGCCGCCTTGTGCCCCTCCGCGCGCCCCGCCGCCACCTCCTCCACGTACTGCAGCACCTGGTCCAGCGAGCTCGCCAGCCGCGCCGCCGCCTCCGCCACCTGCGCCAGGTCCGGCGCCGGCTGCACTTGGCGCGCGCGCCCGCTCGCGCCGATCGTCTTCTGGCACAGCTGCAGCCCCACCACCTGCAACCGACCGCGTGCCGGGACATCGTCCGACAAATGTGCCAGCCACACACACCAGGCGTACAATGTTTTTACTCACCTCGGGCTCGTAGCAGATAAGAGAGACGTTGATGGGTGTGAACATGCAGCCCTGCTTGCCGTGCGGCACGCCCAGCGGCACGCACACGTAGCCGCGCAGCCCCATGCGCTCGCCGGCCAGCGACGTGTCCAGTGTCACGTGCACCGGCTCGCGGCACTCGCGTGAGTAGTACTCGTGGATCACTGACGAGTGGTTGGTCACCTCGTTGCCCGTCGCCCACCACCCTGCCACAACAACGAGCTTCAATCCTCACTTATGGTAACAATATAGTTATGTTCTTATGTTATCAGAAGTTTTTTTATGAATCAAATTATAATAAACTTTAAACAAACGGCTAAACACTCAGTGGCGCCGACTAGTTTCGAGCCCATCGGGGCCCTTCATGAGGGTGAATGGGACTGGTATTATTTCATGTCGTCTCATACACATCCATGGCAGTGAGAGACAGGAAGCTTCGCAAAATAATACCAGTTCTACTCACCCTAATGAAGGGCCCCGGATGGGCTTGAAACTAGTTAATGCCGCCACTGGACGAATATATGTGAGTATTTATCTGTTTTTATGTAAGTTTATTATAATGTGACACAAAAGTTTAAATAATTTAAAATCAAATTATTTCAATTGATACTTATATCATAAAGATGAACGATCAGATTTTTTTGTCTTTTTTGCATTGAAATTTTTTTTGTTCTGTAAAGACAATCTTGGGCTACTGCTAATTCCTTATAAAACAACAAATTACATGATCTTCCTAAATATATAATTATAATCTTCTGTTTTTCAATCATTAGCATGTGCATATTTTACATTTCTAAATATTTAGTTCTGTTGAGTAATAGCTTGAAAAACCAAAAGATGGATTAACTTTTACGACCTACCATAAATAGTTGGTAAATCTTAAACTACTTAATCTTGGGTTCACCAGAGTTCCAGTAACACGTTATATGTATTCATATAAATACATATATCAAAAGTATGTACTCCATGTGCCATGGATCCCATATCAGTGTAACTGACCAACAATGTTTTCAGAGGCATTGACCCGACGGTTGAGCTCGTACACATCCATGGCATAGTTGAGCTCTGCTTCCACCTGGTCTGCGTGCTCTTTGTGCGGAACACAAAAGCAATTTGTCACTTCCACAACACCCTTGTCCGATGTGCCTTAAAAGAAATTAGTTTTGTTTACCACAAACATGTCTTAGAGATGAAGAACCGCCATACTTAAATCGTATGATCCATGTTTTCAATTAAAAATAGGTATATTTCTATTAGTAAATAGTTGTTTAAATCCAAATCCGATAGGTTAGTCCCATGACGTCTACTAAAACTATAACTTAAAATCAGAGTGCTGGCCATATAAAACATTTTTTTACCCAGCAACGTGCCAATAACTCGATGTGAATCCGCATTTCTTCGCTCATATGCATCAACGATTTGAAATAAAACTACGGGATGTATCTTGACAACTAAGTTGAGGGCCATTTTGGATTTGAAGAAAGAAGATATCACAAAACTGCAAAGACAACAATCAAACTGACACTGACAGCAAGTCGAAAATCTAGAATCAACATAAATCATAGATATATTATTATACTCTGTAAATTTATGGCAGTTTTTTAACTGGGTATTTTGACAATTCACTAGATATGGGTTGAGTAAAATCGATTAAAATTTTTTTCTAATTTCGATGGCTGTTCTCATAGAACTTGTAATCGAAAATTTCGTGATTTTTGATTTTGAATTACAATAGAAATAAATTTGTTTCTTTCTATTCCTACTTTATCCTTCATAACGACATAAAGAAATAAGATATACAACCAAAAATTGCGGTGTTGATGCACATTAACATTCTTTTTTTAAAATTAGTTGTGCGATTCATAGCCATATAACTACAATAAATTCAAAAAGTTATAAAATACCTAAATTATAGTACCCATTTGTTGGATTAATGTTATCACAAGACCGATTTTCGGTAGTTCCAGTTATTCGTTGTGCGCGACGGTTCGACAATATGATAAACGTCCATTAAGTACAATGTTAAAGCTCATACAAAATAAATTCAATATTTTATAGGCGTCAGTTGTCAAACTAATATATCTTAAATAGACATACTGTATAAGCCTATTATAATTTCTTACTATTATATTTAAATTTGATACATTTTTAAGCAAACTAGCTCTGCCCGCGACTTCGTACGCGTGAAATTCTGTCTTTGGGTAGTATTTTAATTGTTTAGACTACTTATTTTACTAACATTTATAGTACATAACACAAAACATTAAACTTTCTAAGCAATCACATAAATTATTCAATAATACAAACTTGCAGCCCCTATTGTTATTTTACAAACCTCGAATATCATATTTATTTATATCAAACTAGCTGTCGCCCGCGACTCCGTCCGCGTGGATATATAAAAAAACTTAATTAGTATAGCCTATGTGTTCTTTCAGACTATGTTCTATACGTATGCCAAATTTAATCGAGATCCGTTCTAGAGATGTCTTCAAACATCCATCCACATCACAACCATCTAAACATTTGCATTTATAATAGTATTAATAAGTTAAATAAAAAGCAGCTCTTCAAGGCATAAATTCGAAAAAAAATATTATAATGAACAAATAGTATCCTATGTCCGTCTCCTGGCTCTCAGGTACCTCCTCAGCAATTTTCGGGCAAATCGGTAAAGCCGTTCTTGAGTTATAAATAGTATAACTAATACGACTCTTTTTATATATAGAAGATATTCGTAAGGATTAACCTACGCGTTATAGCATCACGCTTAATATTTTTATGGTAATTCGAAATTATGAAAATGGCAACATTAAACAGTGCAGTTGACAAAATGGCCCCTGTCAGCTGTCAAGTTGACAGTGTTGATAAAATTTACGATTGCGAACTGCGACTGCCTCAAATCCTTGTGGGATTATTGATGCCAAATTTCAGCGAGATCCTTGCATCCGTTTTGGAGATACCTTCAAACAAACATCCTTCCACTCACCCATACAAACATTCGCGTTTATAGTATTGGTAGAATATCTGAACTGATGGGCTAAATTTTTACAGCTTAGTAGCACTTCCCTGTTAACGTCAAAAAATCTTTCCTGATCGTCGGTACTGTCTCTTCTGTACTGGCGTAATGGAAACAGACATAGCTTATTTCCGTTATTTATTAAATGTGGCCTATCCTTTTTTCTTACTGCGTTAAGGTTAAAAAGAGCCATCAGTATTTCTTAAATCAACCAAAAGAATACCAATGTTTTAATATTTTAATAAAATTTTATTCAAAACAACGACTAATATTATGTAGCTATAGCTTTATTGTACTTTATTCAGGGGATGTAGGCGGCGTTGTGTGAATGCGTATCCCGTGCATTTCTGCTATTTCATCCTTCAGGGACTCTGTCACTAAGCGATGCTGCTTCACGCGAGATAGGCCCGCAAATTCTTTAGCTTCCACACTTACCTGTACAAAATAACTTGGGTTTTTAAATTTATATTAGGTTATATATATAAGGCCCAGCAGAGGACCGACACAGGCTGATGATAATGATGGCCAGTGTTTACAATAGGATTGTTTTGTAATAATTATGATGTAATTGCCGCCTGTAGGGTTATTACTTCAAACATGGCGCCGCAGCCGCCAGAGATGTCCTCGACGCTGAGGTAGGTGATGCCGGGCAGTGCACGTCGCAGGGCCGCTGCCAGCTGCTGCTCCTTGCCCACGGCACCCCCGTCGCCCACGCCGCCCACTGCTCTTATCTACTTTCACGATATCTTTATCATTATATAGTTAAAATTTTGTTAGTCTTTTTACATATGTTACAAAATGTTATTTTTGGAAGTACAAACTTATTATCTATTATATTTATTCATATTTCATCTACTATCCATTGTGTCTATGTACACCACAAAGTATAGGTCCAAGATTAGTTGACGTGTGACATCATGAAGTCAAAATGTTGATTTGGGATCATTGTTCCGGATATCACAAGTGACAAAAATGGTGGCAAACCTCTGTTGCGAGAACAGAGCCCTGTTCACTTACTCAAAAGTAAAAGTGAGTTTTGAGTTTAAACTGCTGAAACATCTATACAAAGCATTGTGTTAACTGTTTGATAAAACAGAGAAAACAATATACTTTGACAATGGATACTCTAATAAACTAGTATAGGTTATACCACAAAATATTTGGAGGAAACTGACTGTGGACACATTCATTGAATAGATGCAGGCAGTTTATTATCTAATATACTACTTTGCTACAGACTACACATTATGAGTAGCCTACAAAACCTTTTTTAAAAAAATATTATTTTTATATTCGACTTCCATAGTGCTTATGCACAAAATCCATATTAAAAATTTGCCAAAAAAAAGAGTTTTATAATAGTTTGAAGTAAAAAGAATGTTAATAATCTTCGCCTTTAATTACTATGTGCAAGCAAATTGTTGTTCAAACATATTACTATATAAATTATATTTAAATGTTTTTCACAAGATATAAAATACTCTTATTGGTAAAAGTCAAAGCCCCTTTTGTGTTGCTGTGCCTGTGAGCTCCGAGTTTTGACCTCACATAGTCCACATGCAGACTGAGGTGCAAAAGAAAAGATGACAGAATAAACAGCACAATAACTACAATATATACCAATATATGCAATGAAATCATTTCTTACTTTGGTACTAATGAGAGGTCGCAACGTTTTTAAAAAAATCCGCAACATTTTATGTTCTATTTTTAAACATTCATTGAACAGAAAATTCGAATACAGAACATTTTACACAACAAACAGATTAAGACGAAGACCTTATAAATATTCTTAAAAATGTTATCGCTTAATTGAAATTCTTTATTAATGCAACTATCTTAACTATAACCTTAAACTCTCAAATGCTATGCTAGTTTGACAGCTGATCAGCTGTCTCAGGTGTCAACTGTTAGCGTTAAATTCTCAATTAAATAAATCCACGCAACTGTTATGGTATGGAGTTGCAATATTTGGTTGGAGCAAGCAAATACCTCCTTTACTAATCAATATTAATACAGATTGTAGCGCATTTATTTCTTTTTTTTTAATTTTTTGACCTGGTAACATAGACCTTTAGGTCGTTTTATATACAATGAGTATATAAAATGTTTTATATAGTTGGCAAGTTTCTCTTACTCTTTAATGGTAGTATATACTCTTTGGTAATATCCATCCATTCATTCATTCATTCATCAATTGCTGTCAAACAAATTAAATCTTTCAAAACACGTGTTTATTAAAGTTTGAAATAAAGTGCGGTTTTTGTGAGTTTTAGATTTAAGTGAACTGCAGTGAACTAACTCACAATTTTTATAATATGTTATGGTGATTCGTATAAACAATGCCACCATATAAAACGGGATTACTTAAAAGAAAAATATCGGAAAATACCAATAAAACAAAGGATAATGTAAGATTATTGACTGGTTATTATTGTTATTATGGTTTAAAAAGTTTTATACTTTTATAGTTATATACTTTTATATTTCAGAGCAGTAACAGCAGTAGCAGCTGTGATGATCACAATTTAATTCGCGGTGACTTGGATAAAGAGGCGGATTCCTCGGACTCGGACAACGAGGATGGTCATGCCCCCTCCGACACCGAACTAGATGTACATATTAAACCAACTTTTAGTTTTAAGTTATTATTAACAAAGCAATGTAAAACTTTACAATTGCAGAAATTTCCAATTTTTTTTTTTAATAAAAGATAGTAATTTATCTCAAAGCAAACTGAATAGCTTGGGTTTGGAACATTTTACAAATATCATGAATGCAATGTTCCAAATATTGCATAAATAAATGGTTGGATAGATTTTCTCGAAAACAGCTGTGTGAATCATGCTTAAATTTGGCACAGATGTAGAACATAGCCTAGAAAGACACATAAGCTACCAAATAAGATTTTTTTTATTCTGTGCAAATGGATACGTGGGTGACTGCTAGTATACAATGAAATTATAAATGTGACAATGTGATTGCTTGATAGTTATACGATTTAAATAAAAAATATGTTTTAGGGAGTAGTGTTTGACAGCGGAGACTCTCTTCTGAGTGATGATGCTGCTAATGAGTCTTTAGAGGAGTCATCGGTAAGTTGTTTTAATGTTATTTTAAAAACGATGTAAATAATGAACATGTATTGTATACTTTATATTTTATAGGAACAGTTAGCAAAGACAAAGACCTTCCTTGATGATAAGTCATAGAAGAAGGAAATCAAAAATCATCATGAAAAACTGACAACTTTTTTTACTTAAATTGCCTATTAATAAAATATAAATTTTTGTTGGCACATATGGCACCACTGCCTGACATGTAAACGGAAAGGCATTCAAATTCTTTAATTAACCTTCAATATACTTAGTGCATATGTATTATAACTAACTAACTAACTAACTACATGTTTAATATCAGTTTAATTTTTGAATAGCTAATTTAATATTGACAAATTTTGATTGTTTTTCAGGATGTTAGTGATTCAGAGGAAGATGAAGCATCAGATGGAAGGGAGAAGGAGAGTGACGATGATACAAGTGATAGCAACACTAAAGCAACAACACATAAATATATTCAGTCAAATACAAACATAACAAAAAGTAAATTAAAGCCTGACAATGAAGACAGTGGTGCGGAATCGGGCAGCGGGAGCGCATCACGCGTACAACACTCACTCCCACATAAAAACAACGAGAAGCCATTTAAAAAGAAAGAATTTAAACAAAAAGCGACAAAAGTTGCAGCAGAAAAAAAGAAAGCAAATAGCAGTTTAGATGCTTTAGAGCAAAAGATAAAGGATGTTCAGGTCAACATACAACCGGTGCAAGAAAAAGGTATTTTAGGGGACATTTAAGTATGCTCCTGTAGTATTATCATAAATATGTAGGTCACCGGTGTTAACAAGTGAACCTTCGCAGACGAGTACGAGTCCGGCGACACGTCGGATGAGGAGGGGCGCGTCAACACGGCGGGCGAGGTGCCGCGCTGGTGGTACGCGGAGTACGACCACGTCGGCTACGACGCTGACGGCCGCCGCATCGCGCGCCCCCCGCACGCCGACCGCATCGACGACTTCCTCAGGTGCGCGCCGCAACCGCAGCCGCACACCGCACACCGCACGCCGCACGCCGCACACAGCACGCCGCACAGCCCACCCTCGCTACATGTTGCAATGCTTCTGTTGCAGGAAGTGCGAGGACCCGGACTTCTGGCGCACCGTGCGCGACCCCTCCACCGGCCAGGAGATCATACTGTCCAAGAAAGACCTCGAACTGATAAGCAGAATACGCGAGGGCCGAGTGCCCAATGCGGACCATGACGAATATCAGGTCGCTTTAAAATATATTCTTTTGTCTATGTCTGAAAAATTAGAGCAAAAGTGAACGTATGTGCATGTGAACTGTGGAACGCAGCCCTGGGTGGAGTGGTTCAGCAGCGAGGTGCTGGCGACGCCGCTGCGCGCCTTCCCCGAGCACAAGCGCTCCTTCCTGCCCTCGCGCGACGAGCAGCTCCGCGTGGCGCGCCTAGTGCACGCCCTCCGCATGGGCTGGACCAAGACCCGCCGCCAGCTGGCCGACGACCGCCGCCGCAACAAGGTCCTAACCTAACCCAACCTCGCCTCGCACATACATTCATATAATATGTACAGAATTGCGTCCCCCGACGATGAGCTCGTTGCATACATGTTTTATAAGCTAGATATCGCCCGAAAAAGTGAAGAGCAAACAACTGAAGGCGTCGGTGGCTCACGGGGCAAGCACTTGACTTGCAACCTGAAGGTCCTGGGTTCGAATCCCGCAATGTACCAATGTGATTTTCGATTTCCGATTTACATATGTACATTTACCTGCACATATCTGAGAAGAAATTCAAAGATATGTGTGAAGTCAACTATGGCCTAATCACCAGTAACTTAGGGTAGTCTCCGAATGGGGATGTGTAGTGAACTGATGATGAAACAAGTGAAGTAGCCGTAATGTAACATTGCAGGAGTTGAAGTTCTATGACCTGTGGGGCTCCGGCGCGCAGGAGGAGGCGCCGCGCTCGCTGCAGCGGCACATCCCCGCGCCGCGCCGCCCGCCACCCTCGCACGCCGAGAGCTACAACCCCCCGCCCGAGTACCTGCTCGACGACAAGGAGGTCCCCGCACTTTGCACACACCGCTACCCAC